TGCTTAGACCTGCTGCTGTCGAGACGAGACCGACGACAGAAGACACGCTGCTGAGGGACACAGAACGAGCTACAGACAAGACCGAGTTATATACACTACCGAGCTGCAGACAAGATCGAGCTGTACAGGAGGACAAGCTGCCGGACGCACAGAAGACATAGTTGATGTACAAGCAGAAACAGTGACAGTAAACTGTCCTCTGCCATCCTGTCTGCCTTTCTTTCCTAACAAACGACTGGGGGATAAAACAAGTGTCGACGCAGGCACATCCAAGGATTTAACACGCGACCTCTGTTGCCCAAGCTGATTAATAAGCACACAACCTAGATTTCACAAAATTAAGAAGAGATGTGTGAAGGCCTCGGTGCTTCCAGCTTGTGGGAGCTTTTAACTGGCGATAGGTAGGAAATATTCGAGTCTCGTGGAGCATATTTTGGTTCCTTCAAGTTGTAAAATACAACCGGTTTAGACCACTTCTACCTGTTTATCGCGTATTCCCTACTAATAAGGTTCGCAATTGTGACCGCGTGACTGCTCAAAAAGCCGTTGCTTCTTTGACTCAGGTGACCAAAGCCCGACCGGAACCTGGCCCAAGTTGCCTCGATAGGGGCAACTATGGACCAGGCTATGGCTGTATGATTACGACAAATACGCCAATAACAGTTATCCAACATCAATTGTCGCCGACAATAACAAGTTTCCGTGACTGTTCAAGATTTAGTCACCGTGGCAAAACAGAACTTTCGCATTATTTTCTGCGCTTAGGGTAAATCATGGAATCCAATGCAATTTTGAATGTTTCCGTTCGCAGCCAACAGCATGCATCCCCAACATCTTATTTCTGTTGGACAAAGTTGCTAAAGGCGGGAGTTTCTTTTACCTCCCAATATAGGTCTGGGAAGTGTTGACTGCCCTAAGACAACATGCACATCCAGTCGAACCTGCAGGCCTACATAATCGCAGAACTTGATGCAGCTTTAGGCATACTTATATTAGTTTGTTGCTTAATTATAATAAGTAGTCGTTATTTTGGTTTGTAAAGATGATCAAAAGATGCCTATTTGGCGACCGAAAACCAGCGCCCAAAGTGGACAAACTACAAGTAAGTGAGTCCAAATTATGGATTGTACATTAACTATCGTAGAGTATCTGCATGTAACGCTTACTGAGATCCAAGACAACCCATGATACATGCAATTTAGTTACGAACTGATTATTATCAAGAATTAGTTTTTACATTAGTAAGTTCACGTTTCTTTGATGGGTTAAGTTACTGGATTAACCTGTACAGACAATTTAGTACTCAGTGTAGTTCTGATTACTGAGCAGGCCCTTAAAAGCCTTACTCAACATCATTTCACTTGCATCTGGTTCGTATTTTCTTCCCAGGTATTGGCAAACTCGAACGGTATGGGATAGGCTTATTCTGGAGGTTAAACGTCAAGGGTCCCTGTTTCGGCCATTGCGTTTGTAGACTATTGCAGTAAGTCGACACCTAGCAGTTGCCAAATACCAATGCTATGATTCCCCCACATGCAGAAAATGTCTTTTTTTTAAATTCACACACAATGACATTTTTTACAGTGAATTACTCCTAACAACGCAGAAGCCTGGTAACGTGTACAAATAAGCAAGGACTACCAGTTTGATGCTCGCTAAAACCTTCCATAATATGGTATTCGTCGTGTGTCAGTAGTAACTTGCTTTGACTATCTTTGAGCTGAAGGTCATAAGTCCTAACCAAGGTAACCTTTGTCGTACTTACCGGAAGTCAGAATTGTTAGGGCTTTCAGCAGTGGCATTTCACAGTCATCCGGCCTCAAAAGTGCAGCCGCGTTCAAGATCTTCTTTATAAGCGAGTCCGCAGTGGTGGAGGGGACAGAAGCGTTTTTGCTCCGGTCTTCAAAAGAGGACGAAATTCCGGTGGGTGCAAACTCAACGGGTTTCTGTCCGTCTGGTGTGTTAAACCTAAATTCACTCAGGAATTGTCTCGAGTTGGACTCTGTTCTACTGCTTCTATCCGCGGGGGACCAATCACCGTCTCCTGCGCGCGACTCCTGAATAATCTTAAATAAAAAAACTATTTATTATATTTCAGTAGAAAGGTTTGGTCGATAACTACTTTATGCACGGCAACTGCTTACCCTGGTGATCGACAAAAGGACTAGATTGGGCCATCGACAACGCATCTGGTTGACATGCTGTGCTAATGATTGGCTGGATGCAGCCGACTGTTCCGTGCGCACTAATCGGATGAAATCTGCGTTGTCCCGAGCCAGTTCGAAGCAGCTGCTTTGCGGTCCAGGCGCTGGTTCACCTCGGAATTGCACATAAAGACTCTCGACAAACCACTTGGTCCAGGCTGCGTTTGCATGACACAGTCTTTTAACCTCTTCCCTGTGCAGTTTCCTCCGTCCTTCGCCCGCGAAGGCCTCCTCTACGGGTGGTCCGTTTTGCAACCAATCGCAACTGGTCCAGGAACCAGATGCAGGTAAACCCACATACGACAAAGCTGGTGCTGGCGGTGGTGGTGTTGGTAGTGAAAAATTGTGTTGTGTTGGGCGGTTGTCTGGAGGCCGATCGTAAGACTGTACATCGTCAACATCGACATTAGAAACCGCCGGTCGTTGCCACTGTGAATTCTCATACGGTGGGAAGACTGATTTCAAACTGGGCAACCGTAAATTGGTGTCGTCAGCAAGCGACCTGCGTGCGGTGAGACGAGAACCTTGAACACCTGAAATGGGAAGCAAAATAATATCCTGTGACCTAATGGCAGATAACTAAAACATCGAAAGTCAGGCACGTGCTTTTGGGGTTTTTAAAAATGATATCGATGTTCAGAAGAAGAGGATGCGATTACTGGAACAAGAGTTTTATTTTCCTGACGTTTCGGATTAATTCGGGAATCCTTAATCATAGGTGATGGTAACATAGTCATAGTCATGCGCAGGTATCGATGTCCTGACATTCCTACAAAGGTAACTGTTGGGAATGCTTCCATTCCCACGATGAGTCATCTCACAGAAAGACCCTGGGCGCAGCTGCCACGCCGCCACCACCATGAGAGCGCCGACCGTGGTTATTGATTTCTTTTCATATCTGATTGGTCCGTTCTCGTCGACGCTTTCTTATCAAACGGATCCAATGAATACACGCAACCTTTTTGTGTGAGAGTGACTAACTTTGTGTGAATACACCACTTCGTGATGGCCATTCCGACCTTCCTCGTCGTTGTTAGTTGTAGCTCTTGGTTATCGATTTTACTCGGTTTTTGTGGTCATGGCACTCAGAGGCAAAAAAGAACTCTCATATCAAGTCTTTCACTTAGGTCAGCTGAATGAAAACCATGCTCACGTGATGCTGATCGATTAATTGACCAACGCATAGGCTGGTGTTAAATCTGTATGCTACAGCATCGTTAGGCGCAGGTAGTTGGGGTGGCATCAGTCGGCAGGGCGTCCTTAAAGCAATCCTCGCAAGCCCTGGTGGTACGCCACCTTGTGGTCATGTCAGGTGGGGAGCTGGACCATTCTGAATGCAGCCGACGCGTGTTTAAGTTCGGCCAAATCGTGTATATCGAGCTGCCTACGTCTGCCGGCTCAGAACTCGTACGAGATCGAATCTGTGAAAAGGGAGGGGGTGAAGGAACCCCACGCGGAAACTTCCCTCAGAAGATCATACCAAATCTGTCTCGAAACATATACCCACACGAGATACTCACACGCCGCCCGAAGCCATGCCGTCCGAGACCACGCCACACGAACCCACAGGGAGTAGTCAAACGCGTGCCGACCGTGAGAACATTCCCCCCCTCCTTCTTCCCTTC